AAAAAAAAAAAAAAAAAAAAAGAAAAGAAAAGAAAAGAAAAGATAATGTGAAAGGGACTCCATTTGCTTTTTGGGACACTTCCGATTCATTGCTTGTTATTATTAAAATCGTTTTCTTTTTACCCATAAATTTATAAATAAATCACATATTACAATTCTGAAAAAGTTAGTATCACATACTCAAATAGCAATACAACTGAACCCCAGAGCTTAGAATTGGCTTTAGAATTGGCTACACTAAAATACACCCACAAAATTGAGATATTACAATACTAAACTCCCATCAGTGAAAATTTTCGCTTCCAATAATGGAGAATAAAATGTCTAAACAAAAACAAACACTTGTTATCACAAAACACCACACAACACACAAACTACTAAACACCAATCTAAAACCTAGAAACTAGAATAAAACTCTCTGCAACCGCCAGCACACTCCAAAAGCCACCAAACGAACCGGCCCCCACGAAAGACAGACCATGGCCCCAGCCAAGATCTAGAAACTGTAAACTACACCTAACTAGATCTGGATCAAAACGAGTCAGATCCTCTTTCAAAGGAACCACCCCGGAACCGCATGAGAGACCAGCTACAGAAACCCCCAACACCAAATCAGCGACGACTGTCAATCACCATCGAAGGCAATGATAGCCCCCTCCGTCGGACAGTCCCACCCAAGCACCAGGGATGGATAGGACCCAGAGGAACACACTGCCACAAAGGCAACAGACAACGTCGGCGTCGACGATCAAGCCACCCTGCCACTGAAACCCCAACCAAACTCTGCCATGGCCACCATCTAAATGGAGGAGCGCCACGCCGAAGAAGAGTACGACAATCGGAAGGGCCGCTCACCGACACCCCGATGCAAGCCACCTCATTGGTGGTGAAAAGAGAGCGGTGGAGAAGACAACAAGGAAGACGACGATGGTTTTCTTATTTTGGGAAAAAATAGAAGAGAAAATTTTGATTATTTATTTGTTTACTTATCATATTTGGAAATTTGAGTTACTTTTAAAAGCGTTTCGATACTACACTTGTGATAACATTATATATTTTTAGAAAAATTACATCTTTTGTCTACTATATTATCCTAATTGCACTTTCATCCTTGGTTGTTTTGGGTTTGGATTTCGTATAAATCGAGATTCTGGTGCTCATTTTTTTATGAAAATGCTGATGTGGTGCCTAGTCGGATCCATTTATGTTTTTTTAGCGTAATATGGCACCAGCCCTGCCACGTTGTTTCGACCACCTAGATTAAAATAATAAAAAAAAAAACAAAAATAAATTGAAAAGAATGAAATTTCAGTCTTTAAGTCAATTGGACAAGCCCTAGCCGTTATTGGCAAACGAACGAATCGAATATGAGAACGAGAAAATACCGTGCACGACGAGTATGGTTGACTGCTCTGTGGAAGAGGTTCGTTGATGTAGGGAAGCGTACGAATGAGAAGGATAAACGAGATACTATCTCGATAAAACTCGCAATACTCACAATATCTTATTCAATCTCAAAATTCACCACCCAATAACAAAAAACGAGAGGTCTTTAAATAAGACACCTAAATCTAAAACCTATCTTGTCCACCAAGTCACTAAATATGAATAAATATTAAATGCTAATATAAATAATATATTAATTAAACTACCAAATATTTAAATACCAAAAATAATTAAATATTATTCTGCATCATTCTCCCCCGGTTGAGCAGGATTTGCCCTCGAATCTGACCCGTTCCCGTTGCAGACATCTCATGACAGGAATAACCAACGTTTTCCCCGATCGAACACGAAGGTTGAAGGTCGCCCAACAACCCCGAAAGCAAAAATAATCTCGGGCAAGGATTGAACTGCTGCAAAGGCACATGTACACGCCTTCATACGCATAATCCACATAGCTGAATTAACACAAAAAATACCACATCGTTCGTTGCGCTTAAATCCATAACTACGGGCAAGCATCCCGTTGTTGGGAGACTTCGCGATAGACAATCCGAAAATGGCCCACCAGTTATTGAGCCTCGACTTCGGCTCCCAAAAACCATTGTTGGCCAAGATACTCCAAACATCTGGTTTCAATGACGACATCCCCGTCAAAAGCTCAACTTCTGCGATGTCCCACGCGGGACCCATATTGCCGCAAAAATATGTCTCCGTCACAGGAGGCTCCTCATCGAAAATAGGTGGACAGTCGTACAATAGCCCGTCATCTTCCTCAAAAATCGCACTCTGTTGCCACACATCTTGGTCGTCGTGCGCGGCAACGAGCTTGGTCTCGACGGGCGGAGGCAGCCACTCTCCGAAGAGATCCACCTCCGAGGTGGTTTCCTCACCATCTGCATCGCCGGGCGGTGGTTGTGGAGATCACCGACGGGGCGCCCCGCCTGAAACACGACCTGCACTTCCTCCGTGAACTCCCTTGCGTCAAAAACAAATCCTCGATCTCCGTCGAAAGATCTGCAAACCAACCCGTGAAACGCATGTCTAACTGTTCAAATCAGTAGTCGATCTGTTGAAACCGATCGTTGAAGGTTGCATCACATCGTTTGTTTGCGGCATCTTGTCGTCCCGTCGACATCGCGAATCGTACTGACTGCTGATACCAACTGATGTAGGGAAGCGTACGAATGAGAAGGATAAACGAGATACTCTCTCGATAAAACTCGCAATACTCACAATATCTTATTCAATCTCAAAATTCACCACCCAATAACAAAAGACGGGAGGTCTTTAAATAAGGCACCTAAACCTAAAACCTATCTTGTCCACCAAGTCACTAAATATAAATAAATATTAAATGCTAATATAAATAATATATTAATTAAACTACCAAATATTTAAATACCAAAAATAATAGATATTATTCTGCATCAATCGTGCTTCGCACGTAATGGACCGACAAGAATCCAGGACGAAGGTTCTATTTTTGTCTTCAATGGAAGGTAATTAATTTGCAATATTTATAAATACATATTTTCAAATGAGAAAGAAAGTTAATGAAAGAAGATATGTACCATTGATCAATGTATCGACAGTCATCATCAAGTTAAAATTTTATTATGTGTCGGTCAATCATTAATAGCAATGTCGTAAATAATTTAGTTACCATGGTCAATCATTAAACACTCACCCTCATCAATCCATCACCATAGGCCCCACCCACCTAACCAACACTACCTCTCTCTCACACACACAACACGCACACACTTCCACACACACACCTCACCCGCACACACCTGCACACACACACACACACTCACAGCCTCGCACGTCGCCTCGGCACCACCCACCTGCTGCCACCAGACACCGTCCACTGTCGCCATCCGCCGACTGCACCTTTGCACCTTTTGTGTATTATTTAACACAAAACAAGTGTTATTGTATTGTAATTTTTAAATTTATAGAAGCAGTGTCTCTCGTTTATTATTTTTTCAAGTATTTTAAATTCATATAATTTAATAATTTAGAATATTAATTTACGTAGAAATGTATTTTTTTTCTAACTTTATCGAACATAAAATTATTATAATATTTTATTATGTATATTATTTTAAACAACATAATAACATTTTATTATGTATATTATTTTAAACAACATAATAACATTCAGTTCCTTATACAGTCTATTTAAACTGAGACATGTTTATTTTTAATATATTTTATGTAATACTTAATTTTCATATTTTATCTAAAATTTATGAAAAAAAATATTAAATTATTTATTTTATGGTATATTGATGGATAAGATTCTTATTATTTTATAAAATATTTTATATTGTTTACTTTATATTTTTCAAAGTGATTTGAGAATAAAATTAATTTTTTTTGTAAAGATAGATGAAATTAATTTTTATTTGATATATGAAATAGAGATGTCAAATCAAATATCGTAAAATATGATTATTTTGATATATCATATATAAGAAAATAAAATACAAATAAAAAATTTATAAAGTTTTAAAAATAAAAAAAGAATACATATTTGTAATAGGTGAAATATGAATTAAATAAGAAAATGTAAGAATAGTATATGGTACCTTAAAAAGAAAGAAAGGAAAGCTAAAATAACTTATGATAATTCCCAAGCCTAATAGTCAAAACCAAGCTTATACATTTGTCAATACGAAGCATAAATTTATGCCAAATAAGCTTACGAAGCATACAAGTTTTTCATTTAGATTCAATACATTCGATAGTTATATACAGGGCCGGCCCTGACGAAGGTCAAAGTGGGCATTGGCCCCAAATTTATATCCACATTATATATATATATATATATATATATATATATATATATATATTTTATATGGATTTTGTTAGTAAATTTTTCTACTAATTAAAAAACCCATAAAAAAAATAGCTTTTATTGGCCTAAACCCAAACACCTATAAGACAATTATCATAAACAATAAAATAAAAGGAAAATGAAAGTCACTTTATTTTTGATATTGGAAGCATCAACGAGAAATGCAAGAGGCAAGAGAGAGAATATCAAATAAATTTCCCATCAAATTAATTCTCATCCATCACACATCCACACATTATATTTCCAAGTTTCACTCTCTAACTGCAATTGGCAAAAATTTTTGAGCAGTGCCGGATAAAAAATTTTGAGCGGAGCCTTCTACAATTCATTCTTTCTTCTCAATCATCAATTGATTCTTCTATTTATTTACGAAAGTGATACACCCAATCGAGAGGCCTACTACAATTATTAGGATTTTTTGGGTTTTGAAGATTATTATCCTAGGCAAAAATCAGGTTATATTGTTTCTTGGTTATATTTTATAATTTAAGTGTTTATTATTTCATTATTTGATTCTCAGGCTTCTTTTTATGTGTTTGTCTAATATTGTCTTTCACTTCAATTTTTATTTTAAACATGGGACCTATACTTAGAAAATACTCATATGGAAGTGAAAAACGAAAAAATAAAAATAAAAAAAATTGATGAGGTAATTAAAACTCAAAGAGGGGCTCTTGATAAGTTTTTTAAATTCAGCACTAGAAAATTAAATGTATGTGTTGAAAAAAATGGCTCATTATCTAATTTTATCCATGGGCCCCAAAAGTGTCAGGGCCGGCCCTGGTTATATATAAGGGCGATTTGACTTGATACCATAATATTGTGATATCAAGCATTTTTATTTATTTAATGAAGCTCATTATTGAGTTTCTTTAACCTTTTAACTTTTTGATATCTAGTAAATTAATACATAACATGTTTGTTTTGGCTATGATATATTTCATGTCTATTTGAGGACGACGAGGACGTAGGCCATTGTAAGGAAAGTGTGTTGCCAGAATCAAAACGATTGGGAATGTGGGTTTTTGTGAATAGATTTGTGCTGATTACAAAATATGGTTCTTTATGAGGGTAAAAATATAATTCTATAAAATAATGTAATAGAGTTGATCTTGTATACCATGTGAGAGACGAGTTAGTATCAAGGATTTGCTTGATTATTTATTAAACACGCCTATGCATTTTTTTTTTTAAAGACTTTTCACATATCAACCAAACAACTTAAAATGCATAGGCGTGTTGTTATTAAACTAGAATACTTAAGACCCATAAACCAAATCGGCCTTTGACAATTGTGCGCCTAATCTAAATCTTACTTGCATTGCTTTTTATTTTTTGTTTTTTATTTTTATTTTTATTTTAAAAAATAAATATGAAGAATGCTTATATTAATTAACTCTGGACTTATAAGTTATAACAAATTAATGATCAATAGCTTTCTTGATTTATCCCAATGCTTCCTATCTGCCCTAAAATATGGAAAAAACATAAAGATAATTTTGCCTCGCAATAATAACATTCTCTAAAGTTTGAAGTGCCTTAAAGCGTGAAATAAAGAAAACATAATTAGTATCATCATAACTCTTGACTATACACAACAATATCATAGTATTTCGTTTATGGGCACCACGTGAACAAAAACAATTAAAAGAGTTGAATCCTGAAAGCTGCCAACAAACTTTTCTTAAAGTGATCATTAAGGTTTATTAGGTACTCCAAATTTTCTCCTTTTCCTTTTTCCCTCATCAATATCTTATGCAAACTTTACTTGGATTACCAAAACGCGGAATCTTTTTCACTCCATTATAATTTATAGTATAATTATTCTTTCTTTCACACAATCTCGTAAAATAACTTCTTTATATTCCACAATTCACAAATGTTATACAATATATAATCTCATATATATAAATTGCATAACTAATAACTATACAACATTTTATCGTATAAATACTAACACATATTTAAATCTGACATATAATTTATGTTTATGCGAAATTTTTTTGCAAATTTAGTAATCACATATTCAAATCAATAGCATAATTTACGACTATACGATTTTCGCATATCAATCGAACAACCCATAGTTTACGATTATGATATTGTTTCACATATTTTACGAATTGCAAATCCAATTTAAATGTCGGATAATTTACGATTATGCAAATTTTTTCGCATATTTACGAACCGCATATCAAAATCGAACCCCACACAATTCATGATTATGTGTCATTTTTTAGCATATCTATATCGACCTCGCATATTTACAATTATGCGAAGCTGTTTTCGCATACTATTTGGATAGTTTACATGCCACGTGACAAACTTGACACATAAGATGTTGAATTTTTTGTCAGAAATCTTATGGGTCATCATCATGCAGAAAAAAAGTGACCTCTAACTCAATATCTATACAATTTATCTACTGTATTTTTTTTCTGTCGTTTAATTCTTTTTTTGTTGAACTCTATTTGGCTCTTATTGTTCTTTGTTTTGAAAATTACATTTGAATGGCTAGCAATTTGGTTATGTTTGGTAGACAAATAAGATAACGTATAGCTTATTTAGTTAACTTATAAGTTTCTTGAATTTAATTAACCTTCGTTTGGTAGGACGAATTTTTATAAAAAAGCTCGAGCTTATCTCATAAGCTTCTTTAGGTACCTTTTCAAATAAGCTCGTTGAAATTTTTATTTTAGCTAGCTTATTAATTAATTTTAACAAGCATTTTTATCATATAAGCTAGTTTTTCAGCTATAAGTCATAAGCTATAAACTATAAGCTTGAAAGTTACTGATAAGCTATAAGCTAGCTTATCCGCTAGTTTAACAAACATAACCTTAGAGCACCCACAATGCATTGGGTCCAATTTTACATATGTGGCATATACATTGACAGACCCAAGTAATAAAACCCAAAAGTTATTCAGTGCAAAAATAAAATATTAGGTCTAGAATACTTGTCAACCAATAAAAATGCTCTAATATGTTTACCATATTAAAAGAAAAATTAAATTATGAATAAATGTTGATTGTTCAGGTTTATACTTGAGTCCAAAATAGACTCAATAGTGGACTTGGTCTTTTTTTTTATTGTCACATAAGATAGACCATGTCCACTTTTAATTGCATTGGAAGACATTTTTTTATAGACCAAGTCTATTTTCTTCATGGCATATGATATTTTTTTAAGAAACTCAATGCATTATGGGTGTTCTTAGTGTATTTTTCCACGTCGTTAGGGTTTTATATACCATTTTAACATTAATGGCCTGAAAATGAGTCACATGATCCGCAAGTGCAATTGCTGACCAAAAACCCCCAATTTTGACGGTCAAATGACCTAAATTGCATCAAAAAAATTTAATTATAGAACTGAATGTGCCACTTACCTCTCCATTAAGACTAAAATTGCTCGTTGAATAATAGATCATGACTAAAATTGTATTTTAGCCATAATTTTCCACTCCCATTTTCTTGTTTATGTGATTGAGCAATTTGACAGTGTTATTGCTTAGGTGGCTAAAAGTTTCACAGAATTTTTGCATTTTTTTTTTTTTTTTTTTTTNTTTGTTTTTTTGGATCTATATGAACATTTTTATGTGTTTTCTATTTATAGGGTTTTATGAATAACCATAAAATTTTTAGGTATTATGATTTGTCAAGAAATGGTATGAAAAACACAAATTGTTGCTGAAGGCCATGAAAGCAAAACTGCATAATATTTTTCTTGATCATGCACAATAATTGCAGGCGGTTGCCTTACAATCACTTTATATACTAAAGAAAGTACATCAATATGGCTTACATCAAACCGTAGTTACTCATTGGTTACTTAGGATCTTGTCTAGCAACAAATCACAGGGGTGTGCGTGTTTAGTGTTATTGGCCTTTCTCTTCTCCTTCAACTTTCGAATGTGTGATCCCATGGTCCTGGTGCATGACAACATGATGGTGATCCTATGGCCGACATTACATGATTGAATGCATGCAACATTTGGGGCCATTGTGCTTGTGATCTAATGCAAGGGTTATGGTTGTGACCTTAGCATGACTTCCAACATCTCCCTTCAATTCGAGCTTAGGTTTAGGAAAAATTTAAAGTTTATTTCTTAACTTGGTGAAGAATTTCAATCTACGAGGTTTTGTAAAATGTTTGCCACTTGATCAATATAAGACACATGAAAAACATGAAGGCTCCTAGATAAAACTTGTTGACTCACAAAATGCCAATCAATTTTTTGATATGTTTTGTTCTTGCAAGTTATACTAGATTGGAGTTCATTGCTATAGTGCTTATCTTATCCACCCATATACATTTTTTTTTTTAAATTGGAAAGCACAATTCCTTCAATAACCCACATTATCTCAGTTGTTGCATGAGCTAAGCTTATGCACTCTGATTTATTGCTTGATCTTGAGACACTAGCTTGTTTCTATGAAACCAATTTCTCTCCTAAAAATACACAAAAGTCAGAACTTGTCATCTCCATCACTTGCCCAATTAAAATCAGAAAATCCCGCAATGCTGAGTTGTTTTGATTTCACAATTATTTGAAGACCATAATGAAGAACCTCATAATTCTTTTAACTGATTTCTAATGAGTGGCTAAAGGGTTATACATGAATTGACTCACCTTATTAACACTGAAAGATATCTCAAGTCAAGTAATAATAACATATTTCAAACCTTCAACTACTCGTATAAAGAGTCTTCAGAGACGTGACTGCCTTAATTTTATTCGTATAAAGAGAGTCCTCACATATGTGACTGCCTTAATTTTGAGTGAGTGTTCAGAAGTGATTATGGGAGTACATGTTCCCTTTGATCATGACATGTTTGCCTTTTGAAGAAACTTCTCTAATAAGCCGTGCAGGAGCTTGAATTTCAATGAATTGAATTTGAACCTTAACGAACTGAGTAGGCGGGTGAATTTGAACCTTAACGAACTGAGTAGGCGGGATATAGAGAGTTACATAAAAGTTAAATATTAGTCTCATTTAATAAACAAAATTTAAAGTAGCTCAAATTTTAATGAAACGAAGCTGAATTCATATAGGTGTGTCGCTTCGTTTCACGGTTGGAATTTTAATTAGCATTAATTCATTCGCAAGCTACACCGAAGCCAAAATTAAGTGAAAGATAATACTATAAAACCTTCATCAATCAAGCTTAAAATCAATCAAACTCCACTCATTTTTAATCCCTACTCCAACCCTAACCTACAAATTCAGGGCCTTAAAATCCATTCCTCAAATCCCCATAACTAAAAGAATCCACTTCCAATTCTCCCCCGACCTTCGTCTTCACAGTCACGCCGCTAACGCCGGCCACAATCACAGAGGTCGCCAGGCCAACAAACATCCCGTGCTCCACAATCCCCGGCAGCCTCAGAATCCGGTCGCTAGCCTCCTTCAAATCCCCAATATCCCTCTCCAAATACAGATCGATTATGTAATTCCCGTTGTCCGTCACGTAGATCTCCCCATCCTTCCCGCACCTTCTGAGCTCACCCAAACAGCCCCTATCGGCGAACAGATCCACCAGCCTTCTCCGGGAATGTTCCCAGCAGAAGGGGATAACCTCGACGGGCATGGCCAACCGGCTGCCCCCGATGTGGCTCACCAGCTTGGATTCATCCACGATGACGATGAATTTTTTGCTCACGGATTCAATCATTTTCTCTCTAAGGAGCGACCCGCCCCGGCCCTTGACCAGATTCAGATCCGGGTCGACCTCGTCGGCGCCGTCGATCGCCAGATCTACGGCCGGGTGGGAGTCGAGATCCGATAAGGGGATGCCGAGGGAGACGGCCTGCTCGTGCGTCTTCGTGGAGGTGGCGACGCCGACGATGTCCCTGAGCTTCCCCTGCTTCAGGAGGTGGGCGATGCGGTCGACGGCGTGCCGGGCCGTGGAGCCCGTGCCGAGCCCGATGACCATGCCGGATTCCACGTGCTCGACGGCCTTGTAGGCGGCGATTTTCTTCAAATCGTCCTGCGTGAACTGAGGCGCGGCGGCGGCGGCCGCCATCGGCTTTGGAGAGGGGTTCGGCGGCGCTTGGGCGTCGGGGGCCAGGTAATGCGGGTAGGCTACTGCCATGGGCTGTTGGGAGTATCAAATTCTATATATATATTGCGATTGAATAAGAAATTGAGCGGCTACACAACAGTCGTCCAGGGAAAAATATTATATAGGGTTTTCGAAAAGGAAATTTTTTATTTTTATTTATTATTTATTGAGGAAAGTGGAAAAATGTATGGATGGAAAATGCAGGCCTGAATTGAACACAAGAAAACTGGGAAAAAGAGATTACTTTGGGAAAAGAACATAATCCGATGTACAGATTTGGAATGCAGGTGGATAATGGAATTTGGGCCTTTATTTATAGATAGTTCAGATGAATGGGAATTAGAAAATCTAAAGGGGATTTTTCAATTAGTTTAATAATCAACAATAGTCATGCATTGAATTAAAATTTAGACTCTATGACTATGGCCTATTCTGCCTATATTTTGGGGTGGTCCGGAGGAATAATTGGACCATAGCGTATTATATAAAATACAATTTGGAAAAGTATAAAAAATGCTATTCACATGATTACAAGAAACAGAGAAAATAATACATGAAAATCAGGCTATCTATTGGTCTATCATGCCCATGTTTTTCATTTTGTTTTTGTGATGTTCAAATTTTTTTTTTTCTTTTTTTTTTTGTATTTTGTAATCAATATCATGATGCGAGTATTGTGGCCTCTAATTCATCAGGACCACTCTTTGTTTTTTGTGGTTTGATAGTTGTGTATTGTGTTCTTTGTTTTGTATTGTTTTGTTCAGTCACCTTAATTGATTTTGTGATCGTCAGTCGCGGTGAATGTTGTCGTTTGCTTGTGCTCGAAGGTTTCGATTCCTTTGAGTTTTATTCGTGCTAACGCAATTTTGAAAATTTGTGTTAATATTCGTTTCGTAGGCCTCTTTTCACGGATACATATTGAATAAAAATCCAATTCAATTATGTCCCCCCAAGAAGAAAAAAACAACNAAAAAAACGAAATTCCAATTTGTTGTACAATTTGATCCGTTCAAATCCATATCTAGGTTAGTTTGGCTAAATCGAACTTAACAAAAGAAAATAAAAGAGTATAATGGAACTTTTTATTATCACATTATACAATTTAGCACAAATTTGAAAGGAATCACTGAGGGCACCATTATCTTTGTTTTATTCCGATGAAAATGGCAAACAAGGCATTTATCTTGCGTTCTTTACAATTCTCTGAATATTCGCATGCACTACTTTTTTCTCATTACGTATGATTCATTGATTTTGGAATGTTTATTAAATTGTACAGGTAGTTCTACACTTCTACTTATATTTGAACGAAGCAGAAATAAATAGAAAAATCAATAAAAGGACACTCTATGACTTTTTTAAAATATTATTTACATTAATATTATGGCATATGAATTATATCAAAGTAGTGCACATACGTGTCTTCTTCTTCTGAGTCGCAAAAATACACGGGCAAAATCCTTTTTTAATCCCAAAACCAATTTGTGCCCTCTTCTCGGGTACACGTGAACAATTTTTCCTCAGATGAATAACAATTTGAAGCCGCAAGACATGGACAAGTAGATCATGGATCAACAGCTCCAGCGGCAAATTGACTATCTCATATAGTTGTTTAAAACTTAAGTTGTAAATATTTCATTATGAATAGAAAGTTGTTTTTATATTGTTGACAGATGTTAAATTGTGGTATTATTATTATTTTTTTTTATGTTGTTTCCTATAAAATATATTATTAATTTTTTAAGCTGCAATAACAAACTTTTTGTGTTGGTTTTTAGATAATTTAATTGTTATGTATATATATAACATATCGATCAATCTTTTTGTTTGTTAATTTCTTTTTTGTGTTTTTTTCTTATGCATTCAGAAGAAGAAAGAGGAGGAGGGGTAGGTGGTGGTGGTGGAGGAGGAGGAGGAGGCTTTTAGTTTTTGGAATTCTTCTCAGTTTCTTTTAATTTGGCAGTTTTACATAATTTGAAAGGATTCCAGCATTTTTTGAATTATGTCTTCCATAATTTTTATAGGATATTTTTCTTTTCTTGGATAGCTATGTACTTCAGCCTAGAAAAATCTATGTGAATAAGGTTAAGAGTGTATTTGGTAAATACCATAAGCTAGCTTATAGCTTATAATTTAGTTAGCTTATGCATGTATTCAAATAAGTTTGATTTGGTAGGACAAACTTTTTAAAAAACTCAACCTTATCCCATAAGTTTCTTTGGTTAGCTTTCAAATAAGCCCGTTGAAATATTTATTTCAGTTGGCTTATCAACTAATTTTATCAAACACTTTTATCATATAAGCTACCTTTCCGGTCATAAGACATAAGTTATCAGATATAAGTTTGAAATTCACATATAAGCAAACTTATCAGCTAGTTTTACCAAACATAGCCTAAATGCAATATTTCTTAACTCTGGCTGGTTCTTTTACTAATTAAAGTCAAAGGGATGTCAAAATGAATTCACCTTAACATCACCCGACCGCCTCTGATTTGCATGAACTAGCAGAAAAAATCAGTCAGATGGTAAGGCGGCGCCTAGGCGGGCTCAACGAAAATTTTTCAGTTTTTTTAAATATTAATTACATTATTTTGTTATCATGGTTTCATTATAATGTATTATTGTTATTATTTGTACTTAGGTGTATAGACTTATTATAAGTTGATATTGGTGTAGTTTTATTTTGTGAGAAATGTTATAGGTACATAATATTGTACATAGAGGCGTACATAACACTCACATTGAGTGGGACTGACCAAAAATAAAAAATCAAGTGGACCCCACTCCATGTGAATGTTATGTACACCTCTATGTACATTTATTATATACTTGTAGCATTTTTCTTATTTTGTAGGTAGTGAAAACAATTCAAAAAGTAAGTTATTTAATCTTAATTTTTAGGTTTAGGCCTAGGCGCTACGCCCTGGTCAAGACCATAGCTGACTTTTAGAACCCTGCATATGTGTATAACCGTCAAAATGGGCTTAAACTTGCGGGCTATGAATAAATTAGAAAAGAAAAAGAGAGAGACAATTGTCTCAAAATAGCATTTTTTGGACTGCCTAAAACTATTTGTCTTGGGCCAGCAATTGACAAGCCCACTTGATGCAGCGTGACAGGGCACTTGATGGCGGGGTTCTGTTGGACTGTGGGTTAACGTTTATCATTTCTTCCTTTCCATAACACTAATTTTAAAGGTCATACTCGTCATTTAATAAAACACAGAAAGTTTGGAATGTCATTCATTATCATTGACCTCTCTTTCTCCCTCATGGTTTCAACCTCAAGATCAACGAATAGGTTACAACTGTTCGGAAAAGCATCCAAAATGAATTTTATCTGATTACAGGCCACTTTACGCGTTTTTATATATTTTTTAAAAACTATTACAAAAAGACGACGTACAAAATGAAATCATATATAAATCTTTTATAAATTGACATAAACCAAAAGATAATACAAATTAAAAAGCAATAACAAAATTAAACTAGAAATCAACCTCATAAACTTTAAAAGTTAGTATATTTAAAATTAAGAAAAAAAACTTGAACCGCCTTTGACTTGATTCCATTGCATAGTTATATTAATTCTTTGTCTTTTTCCTTTCACTAGTTTGTGTATGCAATAAGGACATTGACTTGTTTTAGGTGTGAAGAATATTTTTTGGAATCTTGTTTGATTATGTGGTAGAATGGTCAAGCTTTTTAGGTTTATTTTGCTAGTCTTGTTAAATAGACCAGTTTTATGTGTTTGTGTCGATTGTCTCGCATGAAGTTTTAGTATTAGTCAATATTGTCAACTTTTTGATTGGACAAACGTGTTTATTTCATTTTGAATTGTCTTGCTTTGTGCATTGCAATGAGTTAAATCCCGGTGATTCTAAGTTAATTAAAGATTTGTTGATGTGAGGCACATGATTTACAACCACTATTTTGCTTTGTCCATTGTAATTTCGGATTAGTTAATACTTGGAATTTGTCTTTTTTGAGGTTTCATGTATAAAAACTCGTGTCCGTAGTTTATTACCGTTAATTGCACATCGTAATGTGTTGATTTGATTGTATATTGTTGGAATTCACGTTGTTGTGTTGTTATGTTTGTCCTCTCATAAAAAAATAGATAAAAGAAATAAAAAATGAGTTTGCAAGGTAAGTACGACTAGGCTCCTTTTGTCCCGATTGACATAGTGGAATGAGATAATGAACATGAGAAACCGGTCTATGAGACTCGAGGAAATTCCTCGGGGGCACACATATATATTAATCGTCTGCGACTCTCATTTGGGAAAAGTGGCTCACGAAAAATAAAACAAAAAAAAGAAAAAAATTAATAAAGAGAGGGAAACCTTTATTCGTGACATTGATCTTATTGCCTATGTTTGAGTTGACTTGTAGTCCATTACTTTTGTCGAGTATTTATATTGGGGGACTTGTGGTACACGTGTTACATGGGTAGTTTTGTAAAAAGTAGGCTTGTGACGAGTCTACCATGTGTGGAAGAACATTAGATGCGTATTATTTTGTCTAACTAGAGATAGAGGAAAACATATTTTCAAATTGACTTTTGATTATTTATGTGTTTTTAAGTGTTTTATTTATGTTCATTTTAGTTTATTTAAGGTTTTTCTCGATCAATTTAGTCGATTTTGCTCGTTTTATTGTCTTCTTTTCGTTTTGATGTCTTGTCTTTTTAATTCTCTTTTTTTTCTTTGTATAAAATTTGCCTTCTGGAGAGTCGTCGAAAAATCATCGGAAATGAGATCGGGCTAGATCAGTCGTGTTTCTTTCTCCAAGCAAAGAAGCTTCATGAACAGAGATAATCGCCGTCGACATGGGATCTCTCGTCGGCAGAGAAGCTTCATGAAGGTTGACGTATTGTGGCGGCGGCTGATCTGGCGACGACGCCAGCCAGGACAGGCATGGCTTGTTGCGGTGGCGGACTGTGTCGCGACTGAGATGCGGGTTGGGTCAAGAAAATGTATGTGTTCTGTGTGACTGTGTGTGTGCTTCTATGTGTGTGTGTGTGAGAGAGAGAGAGTGAGAGAGAGAGAGAGAGAGAGAGAGAGAGAGAGAGAGAGAGAGAGGGAAGAGAGAGGCAGAGAGAGGGGATAGTGCGTGTGATGCTGGTATTGGTGGAATGGTTTATGAGTGGGGCCCACTTAATTAGTGGGTTGGATCATGGATGAAATTATACCACTGCCTTCCAATG